ATGAAGTTTTAAATATATCCTCTAAAAAAATTTTAAAAAAGGCTAATAAAATATTTTTCCTTAAAAAAAATATTTTCACAGATTGTTAAAATTTTTGTGAAATTTTTTAATTATCCAAATAAATCTTCTTTAGGTATTGTTCCATAATGAATCATTAAAATTTTTTTATTATTGATATTTAATTATTAAAATATCTTAATTTCTCACCATTTAAAAAAACAAATCCCATTAGTACAAAAAAGACAAACGAAAAAGTGGGACACTGAGAGTTGACGGAAATGATGTGCTTAATTTCTTGGTCTTTTGGGAGAAATTGCGTGGTGGGATCAATTAAAAAGGAGCAACCACCGAACTTTCCCATCTTCATTTCTCTCCCAAAACCAAAGCTCAATCTTACAACCCTTTCCTGCAAACTCACCGATCGATTCAACTCTAAAGACTCTTTTGCTTTATCATGCAGTAGATCTTGTTTTCTTGTTCCAACATTCAACATTCAAAGGAAATTAAAAGGAAAAAGGTACTAATTGTAGTTCACTTAACATGCGTCTAATTTAATTTGGTTTATTCATTCGCCTTCCCTTTTCTTTATGATTCTGACGACTAACAAAATAACTGCCCTTTTGCCTTGTTTTTCAGGTTTTGAAACTGGTTATGATGGAATCAATCGAAGAAGAGCATTCACTCAACTAAAATCAAAGCAGAATCCAAGACTACCATCTTCTGTACTTTCCCTTTTCCACCATCTAAACTCATCACTCTTCTTTTCCATCTTTAATTATGTGTGTTGGATGATGAACAAGAAAGCAGCCAATTATGCTCTGTAATCTAGTCTTTTCTGGTGGAATAAACAAACAAAAAGTGATCACCTAACTTCTTCTTTTTCATTTCTCTCCCTTTTCTACGAAAACAAGAGCTCCCTAGACCCATCCATTGATTGCTCTGCCATGATTCTTGTTTTCTTGTTCCAAGGCTCCTCCTTTGCAAGCTAGCTCTCAATATTGATCATTCCAGACGAAATCCAAAGCCAAAGGTACATATATATATTTACTTAGATGCATCTCATTTTGGTTTATCCATATATTATCTACTTTTCTTTTCATTAAATTATGTTTGACAAATAACAACTGTCACCCTTTTGTAGTCTTTCTGGTACTGAAACCGGGTGGAATAAACCAAAGCAAGAAGACCCATCACTTAAATCAAAACTCAATCTAAGATCCATTTCTTCATTTTCCCTCTTCCACTCCAAATTCATCAAAAGGTAATTTCACAAGATTCATTTAGTTATGCGTCTCCCTTGTCTTTTTTACATATTATTCAAATTTGCTTGGTTTAATTTCTCTGTAAATCTTAGTTTTCAGTTTATTAATATATCTTGTACTAGAATAAAAGAACATTTTTAGATTTCATTTCTTAACAGATATAAGATGAAAAGTTCAAATTAATACTAGGCTAATTAATATGTTAACTAAATAAATTAAAGACATGTATACAAAGGATTTGTCTCATCATTGTTGCAGAACACTGTTTGTTCCATCAAAGTCCAACAATGGAAGTTGGGGCCGCTCTTTTATCGGTAACGTTCGAGTTGTTGCTCTCGAAGTTGAATTCTTCTGTAAGTGAATGGGTGAAGTTACCAAAGAAAGTTCGTTCCGAGATGCAGAACTGGAGTAGTCTTTTGCCAAAAATCGGTGCTTTACTTGAAGATGCCGAAGAGAAGCAAGAAACAGACCGCCAGGTGAAGTTATGGCTTGCTGATTTCAGGGATTTGGCATATGATATGGAGGACATGCTTGAAGAGGTCGAGATTGATGCCAAGAGGTCTGAGCTGATTGCAAAAGCCAACGCCAGCACCAGTAAGCCACAGAAACTGATCTGTCCGAAATTGTTTAATAAGGTTCCAAGATTCATGACTGATCGAGATCGAGAGATGGCTTCCAGGGTGAAGGATATAACTGATAGATTGCAAAACATTGAGGCCAACATAAGTAAGTTGGGCCTGATCAGTTCGACTATGAGAATTGGAGATAAGTTTCGCAAAGTAGCTACAGAAAGATTGTCTACTACTCCTTCACCTGAACTTCATGTCTATGGTAGGGAAAATGAAAAAGAGGCTATTCTTAAGATGTTGCTCACTGATGAAAGCAAAGATGAGCCATACTCTGTTATTCCCATTGTTGGAATGGGAGGATTGGGCAAGACCACTCTTGCTCGGCTTGTTTATAATGATGAAAATTTGAAGGGCATCTTTGGATTAAAAGCATGGGTTTGTATATCTGAGGAATTTGATGTTTCTCGAATAACAAGATCCATTTTGGAGCAAGTAACTGGGCAAAAGTGTGATTTAGAAGATCTTTCTTCACTTCAAGACAGATTGAAAGAGAAGTTCTCTGGCCAAAAGTTTTTACTTGTACTAGATGACATTTGGAATAAGAAGTATGACTTGTGGGATAAGTTGCAGAGGCCTTTCTTGTCAGGAGCGTTTGGAAGCAAAATAATCATCACAACTCGAGATGAGAATATTGGGAAGATGATGAAGGGAAATGATAAAGTTTACAGTTTAGCATTGCTAGAGAATGATGCATGTTTATCATTATTTGCTTGTCATGCACTGGGGGTAGAGAATTTTGATGCCTACTCAAATCTCAAAGGAGTGGGTGAGAAAATTGTTGAAAAGTGCAAAAGATTGCCATTGGCTATAAAAACCCTTAGCGGCCTCTTGCGTGGTAAGCTACATTTTGGTGAGTGGGAATACATATTAAATAGTAAGATATGGGATTTACCAGAAGACAGTAGTGACATTCTTCCAGCTTTGAGATTGAGCTATAATCACCTTCCTTCCCATTTGAAAAGATGCTTTGGCTATTGTTCTATATTTCCTAAAGATTATGAATTTGATGACGGTGAGTTAGTTTTGTTATGGATGGCCGAAGGACTTTTGCAACAACAACCACAAAGAATGAAGCAAATAAAAGACCTTGGGCATCAGCACTTCCGTGATCTATTGTCGAGGGCTTTTTTTCAACGATCTAGTAGAGATGAGTCGTTGTTTATGATGCATGACCTCATGGCTGATTTAGCCCTTCATGTTGCTGGAGAAACATGTTGCACCCTTGAACTAGATGGAAAAATATCAAATGTGAGCTTTCAAAAAGCCCATCATTTGTCATTTTTTCGTTGTAGATATGAAGTGTCAAAAAGATTTGAATTCCTAGAGAAAAAAGGGAATTTACGTACATTCCTACAGCTGAGGAATCTGGGTTGGAAGTATAGCTCTTGTTACTTATCCAACACACTCTTGGAAGATTTGATGAAAAATCTAAAATGTTTAAGGGTGTTATCTCTTTACAATTATGGGATAACGAAGCTCTCTGATCAGATAGGAGACTTGAAGCATTTGCGATACATTGATTTGTCTTGTACAAACATTGAAAGTCTTCCTGATTCTGTGGGTTACCTTCCTTACTTACAGACATTGTTGTTAAGGAGCTGCCAAAGGTTTTCCAAGTTACCTACAACTATTGGAAATCTACTTGATCTCCAACATCTTGATATAGCTGAGACATCATCTTTGAAGGAAATCCCATTAGAAATCACCAAGTTGACAAGTCTTGTGACATTGTCAAAATTTATTGTTGAAAATGCTAAAGGACCAAGACTACAAGACTTGAAGAACTTGTCATGTCTTCGAGGCCAGCTTTCCATTTTGGATTTACAAAATGTTTTGGATGCTAATGATGCAAAGGAGGCCAATTTGTCTGAGATTGAGGGATTGGATGACTTATCCTTGGAATGGTGTTCTGACTTCCATGATGGCCGAAATCAAAGCACTGAAATGCAGGTCCTCAGATGGTTAAAACCTCATCAAGGTTTGAAAC